GAATTAAATCATTGGACCCTCTTCACGAATAATAATCATCAGGCTAAAAACGATTCATTCGAATGAACCTGACTGCATTTAGGCATTGTCGGTGAATACTTTTGTTATCGCGCTACATCAGAAAGTAGAGCGGAATCAAACATATTGATCACGGAAGAAGGTGAAGGTTTTTGTTGAAAAATAAAGTTAGGTAGCAGCTAGAAAGGGAGGTTGACTTCCATCATATTTGAGGTAACCTAAATTGTTAGTATTAATTTGGAGTGTTCAAGGTTTTCACTTTTCACAGTGAACTTTTACTTTCATTACCAATGTTTATGATAATAATATTCTTATTTGCTGATTGTAAAGTAACGATTGCAACTACATACAATCAAGAAAGAATTGCTTATCACTTGATAGTATATAACTCTTCACCAATGGATGGGCTGAATAGCAAATTGCTAAAGAGAATGTAACTATCACATTTTAGTCGAAAATAAAAAGAGTTTCAGTTGATAATCAATGGGATACTTCTGAATGTATAAATAAACATCTCTTTTTAATATAATCGTTTTTCAGACAATAAAATATCTCGTTTATACAACATCTCGTTGACAAAGCGGGTATATATGTAAATGTAATTAAATTCATAACATTTGATAAATGTACAAAAAAAGTCACTACCATATGAAATTGAATACAATATAAACAACCAGTCACTTATTTGAAACTCAAAATAAAACAAACAATAGAAGGTATATGATATCAACGTCTATAGTTTTGGTATACTTATCATTATATTCTATCCACATTATATTCTTCCAAACTGTAATAGATTATATCGGAAAGAACTCTTTTTACTGCTTTTCTGAAGCTGGCGTTGGACAGTATATCTTCAATACTATTGGAAGGTAATTGTACATTTTGCAGCTGTTATATTATATAATTGAATCCCAAACGAGAGTGGAAGATGGTAATGGCAGTTTGAGATGGTATCTCTGGGTATCTATTCCCTGTAATGAAGTTTTGTTTTTTGTTTATTTATGAGACACACTGTTTCAAGTATAAATATAGACAGTACCGTGAGTATGTAGTGTTGCTTGAAGTGAAATCCGCACGAATCGCGAAGTTTTAGTTTACAGATGTATCTCAGGGCTCTTTTTTGTAAAACAAAAACACTTTGAAGAACGTTACCACTGCAAACTCCGCAGAATGAGATACCGAATCGCGAATGTGACTCTATCAATGAGTAGTAGTATGTCTTTGCGGTTGGGTATCCTAGTTCGTTTGCAGCAATTTTCACAGCATAACAACCAGAGGACAATTTTTTATTCAAGTTTTTGGCATGTTCATTGAAGAGACCGTTGTCGATGTATAGTCCTAGAAATTCAGAAAAACGAGTCTTTCCATGATTTTCACTAACGTAGAAATGAAGGAAATGGGCCTAAAATTCATAGTAGAGCTCACTTCACCACCTTTATAGATCGGTATAACAATTGATGTTTTGTGAAAAGGTGGAAACATGCCTTCTTTGAAAGATCGAGAAGATGTAAATGTGATATAGTTAAAATATGTTCAAAATATGTTTGAAATATGTTTTTTCGGTTAACCAGCTGTCACACCCCTACGAACGACAACCCTCAGAAGCCGAAACTTGTGCGGCTAAGGACTAACGAGGTTTACCTTTTAACGTGTGATTCCTAACACGGGTTGGACGGTAGCAAGTGAAAATCGATCGTTCAGTCTGCTGTTTGAACTACCGACTCACACATCGGTCGATTGAGAGAGCGAACAAAGCAACCACGTCGAACCGTCCGGCTACCGATCTATCAATTTCAAGAAGAAATTGATCATTTCAATTCAGTCGCTGTAGATTTGATTTCAAGACTGTCTGTAATAATTATTCACGTTATGGCTACAAATAAGGTGAAAATATCTTTAAGAAATTTAGGCACCAGTTTGATTCAATTTTTATACTTTTAAACATTTTTTATACAAAATAAGTAGATTAGGTATTTTTAGGTATTTTTAGGTATTTTGATTTGATATACGCAAATTCTCAAATATTACTTGTATAGTTTTCTCTGATTTATTTGCTTTTATTTTTGCAAGGTTGAGTTGAAAAACAACCTTGACTGATACTTCACCTTTTCTATACTAATGTAGATGATAAGGCTCGTCTGAAAGCAGCAATGATCAAGGAATCGGGTGCTTGGTGGAATGTTTTACCTGTTGTATCCCTTGAAACATTATTAGACGATGAATCTTTCAGAATAGCTGTAGGATTTATGGTGGGTTTATTTATTTGTGTGCCTTATACTTATGTTTGCGGTAGTGCAGTTAATGAGAAAGATACACATGGTTTGAGTTGCAGGAGAAGTGCAGGACGTACCTCTCGACGTCACCAAGTGAATGACATATTGAAACGAGCTATGTTGTCAGCGGATGTTCCTGCAATTCTGGCATCCTAAGGTTCCAGTCGAAATAATGGTAAACGATCAGATGGTATGCCTCTCATACCATGGAAATACGGTAAACCTGTGGTATGGGACTTCACTTGCGTTGACACGGTCGCAGCTTCCCATCTAGCCGAAATTTCGAAGCCTGCTAGAACTGCCGCGTTGTCTGGCATAAAATTGAAACGAAAAAAATACCAAAATCTTGGAAAAAACTATTTGTTCCCTCCAGTAGCGGTTGAAACTTCTGATGTTTATGGCCTGGAGTCTCTGTTGTTCGTTCTTCAACTCGGAAGGAGATTAGGCCAAGCAACATAGAAAAACCGTCCTACCTCTTTTTTGATAGGAAGAAATAGTACCTATTGCTATTCAACGTGGTAATGCTGCTTCGGTTCTTGGAACTATTCCTCATTCACATAATGTTGATGATATCATGCATTGCCCTCATTTAATAATAATAATAATAGATGTCTTTATTGTTAACAACTAATAAGGTTCAACAGTAAATGAACAGTATGGACAAAAATATGAATGAGATGGAAACAAAAGGCGAAGTTCAATTTTTATAACGATAAATCGTTATTAATTGCTTTCAGTACGAAACTAAAATATCTCTGAAACATGCTGAGATATGTGTATATTCATCAGTCTCCTATCAAGATTAATTCGCAAGTGATTGATCCACCTTCTTCTTTTTCAGTATGGTCAATGGATATAGTTCATTCTTGCCCCCCAAATATGAGCTGCAGTCCTTGTGGTTTTGGTTCCTTTTCAGTGGAAGAGCTTCATGGACCAAGAGCCGAATCGATCCCTCTACGAAATCCTTCATCACTTGACAGGATCGATTGCAGCTATAGAAATGATTCTGGTGCAAGATTCTGTGGAAGATTTTCTTCCTTACGAATCAGTAGACGGTTGTCCTGAAAATATCGCGAAGAAAATTGGATTAGATGATTTAGGAAACACTTGCTACATAAATAGCATTTCACAAGTGTTGTTCATGACGAAGAATTTCAAGAACGAGGTTTTAACGATGAACGAGAATGTTTCTCACTTATTCATCAAACCCAAATACCTGTTCATGCAACTGCAGTTTAGTAAGAATGTATCATCTTCCCTAGATACTCATTAGGGCAAAAAGAGGATTGTTCCGAATTCTTGAGCTTCTTGTTGAACTCTTCTTGAGCATGAAAACAGCAGAATCAACACTTCTGACCGCTCTGTATTGAATTTTTCTGTACAGTTTATATCGTCTTCTGTTTGTGGATCTTTTGCTAAAAAAATCCTCACTAGTTGTAGTGAATATTCACTCACTTTGTAGTGAATATTCTAGAGGTAATTTTCTGGAACTTCAACTTGCGTTTCTTAATGTGACTGATAACCAGTGCATGCTAAGTTCATTGTTGAATCATCTGAAATTAGAACTTTTAACGGGTAATGATCAACTGTGTTGCCAAACATGCGCCAAACTAACTGACTATTATAAGAAAGTATAGCTGAGGTACCAGTCAATCTAATAATAATACTGACGATCTTCATACATGACTAAACCTCTGACAGAAGCACCAAACTCTTACGAAGGTTCGAAATATATGAACACTTCAATTTAGCAGACCACTATTATAATCTTCATGCAGTCGTTGTTCAATATGGTTCTGACGTTGAATTTTGTTTTGTCATTATTACGCATTGGTCGAAGACAAAACAAACTAGTTCAAGTTTGACGATAGTCGTATTACTGAATACTTTGGCAATATTTCGAATTCATTGGAGCCTCTGGAGACACCCTACATTTTATTCTATGAAATAGAGGACATTGTCACATCAAGATCTTCAGATGATGTGGTGCTGCAGGTTTTTCCGGGTTTTTCTGCAGCTGAAAAAGCAAATGTTCCACTGAAGTCAATCAAATCGTACCAGAGCACCAATTAATTTTTGTTGCTCTTTTATAATTTCCTGAATTGTTGACACGTGATTATGATTCTGAATTTTTGTATTTTACTTTTATTATCTTGATGAATAGAGACGATTATTATTATTTGTCGATGAACCTTGTGTTCATAAAGATATTATTATCATATTTTTCTCAATATCTTCACAGGCAAAAGGCTTCTGATTTTCCGACTTTTCATCTTTTAAGATTACGATAAATTCCACCGATAAAATGTCTTATATTGCTGTGAGGCTCGATAAATTGATTATTCATTCCATTTGCTAAATAAATTGGCATAATTATTCATACACTGTGAACGTGGAATCCCCAACCAGAAATTAACCGGTCTTCTAGACTATTGAATGAAACACCAAAGTGACGCTGGCGATTTCAAAGAAAAACCCAGTATATGGAGTCCCATCAAACCAAATCACGGCGGTGATCGATATCAAAACTCGGTGTCGTAGAGTGGCCCCACTACAGTTCCACCGAGATTTAAAGCCCGTTGCTGCTGTCAGGGCTTCTGTTTTGTGTTCTTCGTGCTGTGAGATATTGGTGTGGGGAGCAGGAGTAATTTCGTACCCCGAGTAACTGCTAGAGGAATTGTGCGAACAGGAAAGTGTCGATTTTCTGGAGAAGCTACAGGTGTGTTCAAGTGTTTTGGTGGTGAAAAGGGTTTCAATTTTTTTAGGGTATTTTCCGAAAAACCGCTGACATGGACGGTTAGTGAACTATGTCGCATGTTGATGTTGTGTAGCTTTCTGTTGTTTCTGTCATGGAATTGTTGTCTGCTTTGCTGCAATGAGAACTTTGCTACATCTGCATTGATATCATTCCATATTTGATTTGATTGATATTTGATAGCATTCGTTTTAAATCAGTTACCTCTGACCATACAGGTCCTTGATAATTATCAAAGTACCAACTAGATACAGAAAAGTCGAGTTGATTCCGAGGTATTGAAAATTGAGCCGTCACTATCTAGAGTTTGGTGCATTTATAATCATTATAGGAGGCCATTATAGGTGAAGTTGAGCCATATTCAAATCAATTCTTTTTTTTCAATTAATCAATGAATGTGAAGCGATTATCCAATCGTTTTTAGATACGTGCGTAGTTTCAGATATTGAGAAGTAATTGATTTCCTGCTTTTTTCATTCAATCTCGAAGTGAACTAATGGAAAATACGATGTTGAAAAATATCATCAATCTGAAAATTTCTGTTATATTGAGTCATTTTTCTCCTTTAACGATTTATGAAAATATTTTCCCTGTTACTGAAAATAACAAAAAATAAAGCAGGAGAGTCTGTTTTTTCAATTGTTTTGTTTTCATTTTCTAAGTAGGAAAGAGGTATTTCAAAGATTACAGACTCACAAATGTTATCTTGATCTGTTCAGAAATTGATAATGAATTGAATAGATTGAACTACTATCCTTGAATCAGATCATATAACGCCCCTAAGTGTGATTCTATAAAACAAAATGTATTGAGATGAACCTAACGTTATTTCCGTTCTGATTGAGAAACAGTTGTTAAATCCAGTGATAATCGTCTCTGATTTTCCATAAATGGGAAAACTATTTGTGTTTTTCGAAGATCGATATTTGAACAGAAATAAAAATTGAGGAGCGTCCCAGAAATATGTGGATTATTTAATTCTCAGAAGCTGCTGGTCTTAAAAATTGCATAAAAAATGTTACAATGGCTACTTGACGAATCCAATTCTCAACTGGGAAGTTGAAATTGTTATTAATGACAAATTATCACAAAGAAAATTAAATTTATCGAAGAAGTTCTCGAAGAACGTACATACAAAGAATATATGTGTATGTTTATCAAAAAGTCGATACATTTTGGAAAATGTGATTTGAATACCAGACAGATTTTGAGGTTACAACTTCCAACCAGCGCCAGTTTCTCCGTAGGAATTATTTCATTGAATAATAGTCCTGACGGATATTTTGCCAATAAGATTGGCATGAATAAGATCAAGGCAACTGTATGGATTATCAAAATTATCTGAGGAAAAGCGAGTTGTGAACTTCCAACGTGCGATTCTTAACACAAGCCTGACGATACGCAGTGAACAGCTATCGAGAGCTGGGATCCAACCAGCATTCAATTTAGCTTTCATTCATGAGTAGGACTAACTAACCAATAGGCTACCGAATGTATCGATAGGTACATAATGACCTGTATTTTGAGAAAAGTGATAGTAACAGCTTTGCTGCCTTAGTGCCTCAAAGAAATTGACATTTGTACATTTGCAGCGACAGTTCTTGAATATTTTAATGTTGGAAAAACACTTACTCGGTGTAATCTGAAACTCAAATTCGTATCTTTTCTTCTATAGAGGTCTTTCGGGAAATGCCAAACGATTCAATTGTATTATTATGCGGTCTTTTTCCATCGAAAAGATGTGTTGAAAATGCCTGAATGTGATTAAATTCACTTAGCTAGTATCAGTTCCTCAGAATCCATTATATTCAATCAACTCTTCTTCAAATATTCGAACAATACTAGCATTGATGTACCTATTGAATTTCATAATAGATATGAAGAGTTGCTCTTTCAAATCTAATCAGAGTATATTATACTTGCAGAGATGGAGGCAAATCAGTTTAAAGACTTCGGAAAGGAGATGATAGATTATGTTGCTGGATACCTAGAGAATATACGAGAAAGGTAAGAGAAATATTAATATTTTATGAGTTTGTTGTTCATTACTGAGAAATATGATCGAAATAATTGAATGGATTGAAATAAAAAGTATTCATTGCGGAATCCATTGGATCACAAATCGTTGTTTTATCCTTCATAACGGCTCCTAGAATGGCTCATAAGTAGGCAAACTTTGTAGATTGGGACTCACGGTCCTGTTCAATGACCTCCAAGTTCTCCCAACCTTAACCCTCTCGACTTTTTTCTGCGTGGCTATCCAAAGAATGAACCGATCAAAATAAACTAGACACAGAATTCAAGACGAGGTTATATAAATTGGATGAGCCGTCTTTGAGTTTAGCCCGAGAAAAGCACAGATAATCATTTCAAACAGCATTTTTTGGGTATATCTCAAATGTTTTTATGTACAGACAAAGACCATTTACACTTCTATTATTTGTATTGATTTTCAACGTCCTTATAATTGACGATCTATAAAGTGGGATATTATGAGTTGGTAGTTGATTTTGCTTGCAGGAATGGAATATTTGAAATACGTGTACCTTTGATCGAATACAAATATGGGAATTATAGTTTATCTAAAATCCGAAAATCGTGAGCTAAGCTCCCACTTTCAACGAATAAAAATTCATAGCTATTCACGACGAAAAAATCTCAAGGTGATATTACTCAAGTGTTCGAGTTCAAATATCAAAACCATCGAACCTGAGAATTAGAGTAAGGTTATTGGTTGTACGCTTTCACAGTGAATTTGAATAAACGTAATTCCATTCACAAATTCTTTTCAACAAATATTATTTTTAGGCAATTATCGAGTCCGGCAAAAATAATTGAGCAGAATATTTTATTTAGAGTAATTCCTAATTCTTATTTGTCATTGTGTTATTGTGTAGGTCAGTGAAAACATACAGAGTGGTCCAACGAAAAGTATGCACCTTGCTTTACTCCTTTTTTTGTAACTTAACGCAAAAATGATCGGACAGGTCAATTTTGCTTTTGAGGGGAACACATGTATTTTTCTACCTGTGCCTTCAACCCCCTAAAGAGGGTGAGTAACAACCCTAAAATTTTGAATGGAAAGTGGGTACGAGTGATATATGATTTGAAAGGGCACAAAATTATCTTTCCAATGATACCTAATTTGTTGTATTTCACTAAAACATGTAGGTATTATGAAGAAAAACAACTACAACCCAGTACTTTGAAATGTGTAATTGACTTAGTAGAATCCTACTTCAGCAAGTGCTGAAAATGTGACCCATTTGCTTCCAAACAATAATACAGATTTTGTTCAAATCTGTTCTTAACATATCAGGTGTTATACTTCTGCACTCTGCTGTAATTCGTTGGCGAAGATCTTCTATGGACTCGGGCTGCGTAGCAAAACTTTTATTTTTCATGTGTCCCCGAAGAAAAAAGTCTAAAGGCGATAAATCAGGTGACCTGGCAGGCCATTCGATGGGGCCTCTCCTTCCAATCCACCGTCCAGGAAACCGGTCATCTAAAAACTCTCTTACCGGAGTAAAATTGTGAGGAGGTGCTCCATCTTGCTGGAAATGAAGCCGATCGTCATTATGATTTTGGTCATTTTCAATTATTTCTGTTATGAGAGGATCAATTGTCTCTTCAAGCATGTTCAGGTAGACCTCACCAGTTAAATTCCCAGGAATAAAAAGTGGCCCTGCGATATGACTACCTAATATGCCACACCAGACATTGATTTTTTGAGGGTACTGGGTATGGACCTCTCGGAATAAGTGTGGGTTACTGTCATCCCAGTAACGGCAAATATGCCTATTCACAGCTCCATTCAAAAAAAATGTACTCTCATTGGAAAAGCACTTGTTGAATGATAGGTGCGGATCATCAATTAGTAGGTGGCTTAGTTTATAGGCTTTTAATATCCGTATTATGGACGAACGGGAGACACCTGAGGTTGCAGCAAGCTGACGGGTACTTTGAGTATGATCCAATTCAACATGTCCCAAAACAGCGACTTCCACTGCTTCATTTCTGATCGGTTTCCGTGGCTGGTGTTTCACATTACAGACAGATCCGGTATCGACAAACTTTTGGACTAACTTGGCAACGTACGAATCATTCACATTTTTCCCGGGATGACTGTTATTAAAGAGGTGAGCAGTGAGTCTAGCACAACTATTATGTTGATAATAAAGTTTAACAATTTCAACTCGTTCAGGAATGGAATAAACCATTTTTACAGTAAAGTTGAAATAATTTCAAAAGCAACTGAACTGACTCAATGAACGTTTGCCTAAATTCTTTTTGTACACTTATCTGCTGTTGTTATTTGAACCAAAAAACGCACGAGAGAAATTGAGAAATGTAGTAGTGATAAAAATGCTGTTTTTCCGCATTTTCATTAACACCAAAAATATCGAGTAAATGTTCTTGCTTTTTTTATAACTATTCAAGTGAATACAACAAATTAGGTATCATTGGAAAGAGAATTTTGTGCCCTTCTAAATGATATATCACTCGACCCCACTTTTTATTTAAAATTTTAGGGTTGTTACTCACCCTCGCTAGGGAGTTGAAGGCACAGGTAGAATTCAAATCAGTTACAAAAAGTATTTAGATAGGTGTATGAAATTTGCTTTGAAAATATCGAGTTTTGAATAAACATATTTGAAATTTTTGATCTCTCAAAGTCTTGCCAGGGACCAATTTGTTCCATGATATGGAGTAACGATTGGAGATCGAATACAATATTTTCAATTACTGAAGATCATTTGTAGAATGATTGTATAACCAGGCCTCGTCAATGATCTGAAATGCAACCTTCAAAACCAACTTTCCTCATTAACCTGTTCTTTTAATCGTAAGGTAAAGTGAACTATATCATGACAAGACCGAGCGTGGTTTTTGCTAGTGAAAGTTGTTAGATTTATATATTAACCTTGACCCAATCAGGTGATATATGAATATTATCTCATAGTAAGATTAGAAATATGTATTGAACGTTGAAGAGCGGAATAAACAGAAGAAATTGTATTTTGATAGGGTCAGAATTCGCAAATGTCATCATTAATTCACTTCAATTATTGCTTTTCTTGCGTCATGCGTTTTTTAAATGTTTTTTTTTTTCTGATTGGTCTTTTGAATAATTGAAAGCACTGTTCTACAATTATTTCATAATGGTTATTGATTCAGGCACTCCCTAATGGAAAATAACTCTATAATAAAATGAAAATAGTCACCGATCCCTTCGTTATGCATGAGAAACTCTTAACAACCATCTCAGAACGGAAGCGATGAAAAAAAAGCACGTGAATTCCAAAAAACATTTGCTGATTGAACTTCACCCAGTTGAATTCCAAAAACGATCATTCCACCTGTCCTTGAAGTAATAACAATAAGGATTCATCATGGCCCCGGCAGAATAGAGATTGAGGATAACCGCATTTCATTCCATAGTTTCTTTACCGGTGTCAACTGTATCGATCACTATGGTCATTAGTCTCGATTTTTGGGTAGCCTATGGTGATCATCATAGCTATTCGCAGTCCTGCCAACCATGTAAGATAGTAGAATCAGTATCTACTCTCAACTGGATGATTTTCGAGACAAATTTTCCAGAATCCTTCTGTAACTTCATAGGTCTTCTCCAACATCTGCTTTGGGTAAATAAAATGGTTAGAATAAAATGTAGGGTGTCTCTAGAGGTTCCAATAAATTCAAGATATCGCTTGAAAATTTAGTGACACGACTATCGTCAAATTTAAACCAGTCCGTTTCGTCTTTGACCAATGCGTAATAATGACCAGATTCAACGCTAGAACCACAGTGAACAATGACTGCATGAAGATTATAATAGTGGTCTGCTAGATTGAAGTGTTCATCTATTTCGAACCTTTGTGAGAGTTTGGTGCTTCCGTCAGATGTTGGGTCATGTTTGAAGATCCTCAGTGTTATTATTAGATTGACTGGTGCCTGACTGACTGACTGATTGCCTTGTTTTCAACACTTCGACACGTGTTTCGATCACCAAGTGATCATCTTCAAAGAGGAAGATTAAAACTCTTTGAAGATGATCACTTGGTGATCGAAACACGTGTCGAGGTGTTAGAAATAACGATTTGGTGTTGGGAAAATACTCCAGTAATGTTCAATGAGAATCTTCGCCAAACGAACTATCAACCATAACGTACAGTATCTCTTGTTGTATTGATAACCATAATCAAGGGCAAGAAATAAAAGGTTTCCAAGGTTCTCTCTTCCGCAATGAGAATTTTTTAAATTGTGACTATATTGAATCTGATAATGAATAATGCAATTGTAGTTAGCTTTTCAATTTGTAAGTTATATAATTGCTCACCAGAATTTACAGCTCCCATGTTAACTCCGACTTATTCGATATGATTTAAATATGATTCAAACTTTGATGAGATGATTCTCATTATATGAAGTTGTTATCATCATTATTTATTTTCAGACGAGTTCTGCCCACTGTCGAACCAGGTTACCTGAGACCATTAATTCCTGATAGTGCTCCCCTTAAACCAGACAAATGGGAAGATGTTTTGAAAGACGTGGAACGAGTAATAATGCCTGGTGTGAGTATTGATATTCATTCACTCATTTTTGTTTGTTTTCATCTGTTGATGAAGGATTTTCGGTTACCTAGTTGGATTGTGTTGAAAGTATTTCGTATAGTCCGCATCAACATAGTGGAAAGCAGAAGAAAAGATAGTGACAACTTTAATTACCAAGTTATTATTATTGATCATTCAAATTTCAAAAAGGAGAATAATTGATGTATTTGAAATACCTAGTGCAATATACAGTGTGTATCACATCAAGCTTCCATTAGGGGTTTGATATAAAGCAGTAAAAAGATGGGTAGAACTGGAACAAAACACTAGCACTCCTGATGATGCTAACGTAGTGAGCGAAACGCACATAGAATGAGTATTCTGTTGAGATGTGGGTAAAGGAAATACAATGATAAAAAAATATGTCATATGAAAGTTTCAGATATTAATGAATCGGGCTCTTCTGCTGAAATATTCTCCGATATACGGGGTACCAGTGCATATCAAAGGTTGTTTAAAAAAAATGGAATGACACGTATTGCTTTCCAGATTTTGATTCTGTCTGAAAATTACTTTGGAAAATATGACATTTTAAGAAGAAGCTGAGAAATAAATGCATATTTATTTGAAATTTCTGTTAATTTCTGAAGGCAGATTTTGGCCTTACCTTTTTTTTTGATGGGCGAAATTATCAAATACTACAAGTTACTGATGAATAGAACGTTTTCATTTGTGAAGAATGCTTAGATTTTACGCAGTAACTTATCGAGGTAAAGTAAAATGTTTGCCATTTCAAACCTGAATAAAGTTCTCCATTATTTGAGAAAGAAAGTTTTTGGCTTTCTACTACTCCATCTTGATACAGAAAAATTGTGCGAATCTTTCAAAGTAAGAAAGGAAGTGATCAATTTCAAAAGAAGTAACTGTATACATAGATGTGAAGATTATGCAAAGAAGTAAGTAGGAAGACTGTCCAGTTTGGAGACAACACACCTCCCTGAGACAATCTAGCCTGGATTGGATTCTGGACTCTGATCTGATATGTTATTCGACTCAAAAAGGACCTAACCCACCGGATCAGGCTCTAAGATAGGTCGAAATTGAGCAGTTTGTGCAAAAGGCCTTCGTATCAGACACAGTCGAAGGCCTTTGTAATATCGAAGAGGATCAACTGCACATTTTTTCTATTCAGCTCTAAGATGGAGTTTTTGACCAGTCTCAACGCCTGAAGTTCGGGGGAATCTGCCATTCTGAAGTCGAATTATTTGGAACATTTTGGTCTTTAACTGCTTCTGTTAGCCTTTTCCAGCACAACGCGTTCAGCATGATTAGCCGTTGAGCACATCAAGCTAATCGAACAGTGATTCTGGGAAAACAGCGGGTTCTGGCCCTGTCTTGGGATATCAAGGAGGACTAAAATCACATTTTTCCTCCTCTTCAGTTCTGAGATGGAGTTTTCGACCAGTCTCAGGGCCTGAAGTTCGATGGAATGTGCTCTTCAACCTCTTCTGTTAGCCTTTGAAGCACAACGCGTTCATCCAGCTGAGCCGTTGAGCACATCGGGCTAATCAGACGGTGATTCTGGGGAAAGAGCGAGTTCTGAACTGTTTCGCTATATCCAAGAGGACTAAGTGTACATTTTTCTCCGCTTCAGTTCTGAGATGGAGTTTTCGACCAATCTCAGGGCCTGAATTTCGATGGAATGTGCTATTCAACTTTTTCTGTTAGGCTTTGCAGCACAACGTGTTCAGCCAGCTTAGCCCTTTAGCACATCAGGCTAATCGGAGGGTGATTCTGGAGGAACAGCGGGTTCTGACCCTGTTTCGGGATATCCAGGAGGACTGAGTGCACATTTTTCTCCACTTAAGTTCTGAGATTGAGTTTTCGACCAGTCTCAGAGCGTCAATTTCGATGGAATGTGCTTTTCAACTTTTTCTGTCAGCCTTTGCAGCACAACGTGTTCAGCCAGCTCAGCCGTTGAGTACATCAGGCTGAACGAAGGGTGATTCTGGGGGAACAGCGGGTTCTGACCCTATTTTGCGATATCCAGGAGGACTGAGTGCACATTTTTTTCCACTTTACTTCTGAGATTGAGTTTTCGACCAATCTCAGAGCGTCAATTTCGATGGAATGTGCTTTTCAACTTTTTCTGTCAGCCTTTGCAGCACAACGTGTTTAGCCAGCTTATCCGTTGAGCACATCAGGCTAATTGGGGGATGATTCTGGGGAAACAGCGGGTTCTGACCCTGTTTCGAGATATCCAGGAGGACTAGGTGTTCATTTTTCTCCGCTTCAGTTCTGAGATGGAGTTTTCGACCAATCTCAGGGCCTGAATTTCGATGGAATGTGCTATTCAACTTTTTCTGTTAGCCTTTGCAGCACAACGTGTTCAGCCAGCTTAACCGTTGAGCACATCAGGCTAATCGGAGGGTGATTCTGGGGGAACAGCGGGTTCTGACCCTATCTTGGGATATCTAGGAGGACTGAGTGCACATTTTTTTCCACTTTAGTTCTGAGATGGAGTTTTCGACCAGTCTCAGAGCCTGAATTTCGATGGAATGTGCTTTTCAACTTTTTCTGTTAGCCTTTGCAGCACAACGTGTTCAGCCAGCTTAGCCGTTGAGCACATCAGGCTAATCGGAGGGTGATTCTGGGGGAACAGCGGGTTCTGACCCTATTTTGGGATATCCAGGAGGACTGAGTGCACATTTTTTTCCACTTTTGTTCTGAGATGGGGTTTTCGACTAGTCTCAGGGGCCTATTGTTCGATGGAATGTGCTATTCAACTTTTTCTTTCAGCTTCTGCAGCACAACGTGTTCAGCCAGCTCAGCCGTTGAGCACATCAGGCTAATTGGAGGATGATTCTGGGGAAACAGCGGGTTCTGGCTCTGTTTCGGAATCATAAAGACCACAGTGTGCTTCCAGTTGCGAGGGAAGTATCTTGGGGTGCCACAAATGCATTGCTGGGCTCAACATTCCATGAGAAACAAGTCTAAGTAAAGACGGGTGATGCCATTTCTCACGAGACGTCAGCTTTGGGACCGCCATAGAACTCATTCCCGAATATCGAAGTTATTGCACTTTGGAAAGCCTCCTTTACCTTCGGGAGAGGAGATGTCACCGCCCTCCTTTACTTGTGCTTGTCCACTACTGATGAGACCTATCGCGGTTCGGAACAGCACTGCCTGGTGTTGAATCATGAATGCATGTGTTTCGGCTCTAACTTTCGACTTGTTCAGTATCATACATGATGAAATTTCGAAAATAACTGTGTATATCTGTGAAATAGATCTTTCAATCATGAATCATACATAGCTCGCCATTCACTTTAATGTAACAGACACCATTCCAAGAAATCCACTGTAACGGTTCGGAATTTCTAAATTGATCTTGGACACACAAATTTTACCGTCGACTTCAAATTTATTTTGTTGTTTTTCTTCTGTTACAGGTGACGCATTGGCATTCACCTAGANGGATTAAAAGTTTTATAGCTGTATTGTATTTCTTCAGATACAAGGTGGGTTAGTCGAAAACATCTTAAACTGCCAGTTTTAGTTTGGTTTTTGTTATTATATCATATTAGCTGTCCTCTCTGTATTTCAGTTCTCTAATGAGGGTCAAACTTGCAGTGAGCTATCAACAAATTATGAACGGACTATAATTTTGTTAGATATCAATAAAATTTATTTTCTAAGCGCACATCTTTCAAATTCTGTCCGTTAGATCACAAGTATCATATCTTTTTGGTATCAGCTCGTTATAGATTATCTAAAACTGACACCAAATACAGAAATACCACATTGATATGGATCACCATGTATAATGAAATTTTGTTGTAAAATGTAGAATATTAAAATTTAAAATCGACGTGTTTCAGGTTTTTGTAATACGACCTTTGGTTTTGAAAATATTGAATTAGTTCCATACTTTGCGGACACACTGTATAGTATCTAGGTATCTAGATGCCTATGAGAGCTTAGAAATAAGTAAACACAATAATATCATGAATAACGATGGTAGACCATTACCTAATAGTTCACTATATTGCTTGTTGAAATATTTGTAGTTATCAGATTTACCTTACTAGTGGATGTGTCGTGGTGTTAAAAATATTGGTTTGGTGTTGGGATAGAACTCCAATAATATTTATAAATTGTGTATTTGAGATACCTTAACATTTTATAAATTGATTCCACAACTGACAAAATTATCATATTGTGCCATTTCGAAAAAATCCTATAATCAAGGTTGGCTCTATGACTATTGCGTCACCTGTTATGACCAGTTAAGAAGCCTACATCCGTTTATTTCCACCCTCCAAATTTCACTATTAGAAGTATACCCGTTCAAAAGATACGAGGGGGGGAGGGGACTTTTGACTAGCACTGTATAGCTTGTTGAAATAATATTTGTAGTTATCAGATTTACCTGACTAGTTGATACGGCAATATGGTGAAATTGTTTTGAAACAATTAAGACGCAGATACCTAGCAGATGTGTCTATGGTATAAACGAGGATAACATTGTATCTAGATGTAGATTTACTTTAATCTTCCTTCTGAAGATGATCCTTTGGTGACTGAAACATGTGTCGTGGTGTTAAAAATATCGGTTTGGTGTTGGGATAGAACTCCAATAATATTTATAAATTTTGTATTTGAGATACCTTGACATTTTATAAATTGATTACACAACTGACAAAATTATCATATTGTGCCATTTCGAAAAAATCCTATAATTAAGGTTGGCTCAATCATCTTGACATTGATATTTCGCCACAAAAATTAATAGATTCAATGCAAAACAAACAACATAAAAGTTTCAACATTAAATTATTCCGTAATGGTAAAAATAGATATTCTGAAGATAACTATTTGGAAATTCCAAATCTGTATACTTCTTTGAAATTATTAATCAAATTTGAATTTTTTCTGAAGTTAACAATGAACTCAACATGCGTCAGAACTGTTTCTTGAGATTTCTCAATCGGAAAAACCGATGAGGTAAAAAATCAGTTTTTCATAATGGAGATGACTCATTCTACTCACTACCTTAGGCATACGAGTAAAATGATATACTTAGTCGAAAACGGAATCCTCTTCTAAAAATGAATTTCCAAATATTCATTGGGTAACTGATGTGAAACAATAATTTTAGATTGCAAGTCCAGCGTGTACTGAGTTGGAAGTCGTAATGATGGACTGGTTGGGAAAAATGCTTGGATTACCCGAGGCATTTTTGGCTTGCTCAGGGGGCAAAGGAGGCGGTGTCATCCAGGGAACGGCTAGTGAAGCCACTTTGGTGGCTCTTCTTGGCGCTAAGGCACGTACAATGGATAGGGTGAAGAAAGATCATCCAGAAATGAGTGAAGCTGAAATTGTTGGCAAATTAGTGGGATATACGTCATGTGAGTATAGTTTTATCGAAAACTGTTCCATAAGGAAACAGATAAAATAGTGGGAAAAAAAGGTTTTGATTGTGGAAAAGTGAGGTTTTAGCTTGCCTGTATAAGCTTGACACACAATGTCAATGTTTTCAAAAGAAAGCTTAAAAACTTCCTATGTAATGAATGTTACTATGACATATCACAATTCATGAGCAAAAAGATAACGCGAGTTATGACTTCTGGAACTGCTGGAAAATGATTCCATGAAAATCAAAAGATAAATAGATAAATACTATTTTGAGTTTTCGACCAGTCTCAGAGCGTCAATTTCGATGGAATGTGCTTTTCAACTTTTTCTGTCAGCCTTTGCAGCACAACGTGTTCAGCCAGCTTAGCCGTTGAGCACATCAGGCTAATTGAAGGGTGATTCTAGGGGAACAGCGGGTTTTGACCCTATTTTGGGATATCCAGGAGGACTGAGTGCACATTTTTTCCCACTTTTGTTCTGAGATGGGGTTTTCGACCAGTCTCAGGGGCCTATTGTTCAATGGAATGTGCTTTACAACTTTTTCTTTCAGCCTTTGCAGCACAACGTGTTCAGCCAGCTTAGCCGTTGAGCACATCAGGCTGATTGGAGGGTGATTCTGGAAGAACAGCGGGTTCTGACCCTATTTTGGGATATCCAGAAGGACTGAGTGTACATTTTTTTCCACTTTAGTTCTGAGATGGAGTTTTCGACCCATCTCAGAGCCTGAATTTCGATGAAATGTGCTATTCAACTTTTTTTGTTAGGCTTTGCAGGACAACGTGTTCAGTCAGCTTAGCCATTTAGCACATCAGGCTAATTGGAGGATGATTCTGGGGAAACAGCAGGTTCTGGCTCTGTTTCGGAATCATAAAGACCACAGTGTGCTTCCAGTTGCGGGAGAAGTATCTCGGGGTGCCACAAATGCATTGCTGGGCTCAACATTCCATGAGAAACAAGTCTAAGTAAAGACGGGTGATGCCATTTCTCACGAGACGTCAGCTTTGGGACCGCCATAGAACTCATTCCCGAATATCGAAGTTATTGCACTTTGGAAAGCCTCCTTTACCTTCGGGAGAGGAGATGTCACCGCCCTCCTTTACTTGTGCTTGTCCACTACTGATGAGACCTATCGCGGTTCGGAACAGCACTGCCTGGTGTTGAATCATGAATGCATGTGTTTCGGCTCTAACTTTCGACTTGTTCAGTATCATACATGATGAAATTTCGAAAATAACTGTGTATATCTGTGAAATAGATCTTTCAATCATGAATCATACATAGCTCGCCATTCACTTTAATGTAACAGACACCATTCCAAGAAATCCACTGTAACGGTTCGGAATTTCTAAATTGATCTTGGACACACAAATTTTACCGTCGACTTCAAATTTATTTTGTTGTTTTTCTTGTGTTACAGGTGACGCATTGGCATTCACCTAGATTTCACGCCTATTATCCCACAGCCAACTCCTATCCTGCAATAGTTGCAGACATACTGAGCGGTGCAATAGCTTGCATAGGTTTCACTTGGGTGAGTATGTTAACCTCGAGGATTTTATTCGTTTTGAATTGTGCCACTCGACTGCTGAACATTGGCCTCCTAATCATAAAACCGATTTCGTCAATGAAAGAGAGAGGCGATTTATTTTTACCTGTAATCCACACTCGATCACTGGTTAATCCAACATTTCCACCTGTTTATACGTCTATCATTTATGTAACATAAAAAATGTTAAATATTTTCAAGGAAAAACGTTTTCACTGCAAGGTAATTTATATTTGAGTGTATTCACTGTACTTTATGCTGATAGAAAACATTCACAATTAAATTCGTTTTTTGTCATAAAATGTATGTAAGTTTCGTCAATACACTCTATACAATGAATATTACTGGAGTTTTTTCCCAACACCAAATCGTTATTTTTACACCTCGACACGTGTTTCGATCACCAAGTGATCATCTTCAATAGGAAGATAAAACAGTTTTATCTTCTGTAGTAATATTCATTACTACACTAAAGGTTCCAAACAGTATATCACAAGTACACTCTATACAAATTATGCAATTATGCAATTGAGACAATCTGCATACATGAACAACCTACCTTCTTTGATAATTAATGTTAGGCAAGTCATTCATGTACAAAAGAAAAAGAAGAGGTCCGAGTTTACTCCCTTGAGGGATTTGTGGTGGAACTTGCGGTTTAGGTCCCAAACAAATCCATTGGATTAATGTGATGATTGACAGACCAATGATCACTTATGGTGCGATTGCCTGGTGGTCGAAGGCTTCACAGAAAACGATCCAGGCGAAGCTCTCTGGCTTACAGAGAGAAGCTAGATGAACAGCTTGAACCACTGAACAGTGGTGGACACTGGAAGTAACATTCTGGAAATGACCTGTGACTTTAAAAACTCCAACTGTCAACTATGAACTACTTCATGAAGTACTGTTCCCGAGTAGAGAGGACTGGACCCTCTGGAAGAAAAGAATATTAGAGCACATAGTTGTTGGTTCACAGATGGACCAAAAACACCTTCCGGATCTGGAGCAGGTGTTTTCAGTCGCAGACCCAGGGCAGAGATATCAACCTGCCTGAAAACCTATGCGACTATAGTTTCACTATTGAATTGTGTGCATAGAGAGTGGAAGAATCCAACCTCATACACAAGTCAATAAGAATAATTTCGGATAGTCAAGCGGCATTGAAAGCTCTTGGCTCCTACCAAGCAACGTCTAAATTGGTAGCAAATTGCCAAAAACGACTCTCCTCGATAGAAAGACTTAACAGCTTGTCTCTGGTCTGGATTTCTGGCCATACTGTCCTGGAAGGCAATGATGGGGCTGCTGACCCTTTTGCAAAGGAGAGTGCTGCAAGCAGCTTCATCAGACCAGAACCTGTCACTGGCATCGCTTCAGGCTTTGCCAGACAAAGACTGAACATCTGGATGGCAAGAATATTTATGGACTTCTGGCAGAATCTTCCAGGATTGGCTCATTCCAAGACGTTTATGCACCCTTCGAAGATTGATACCAAACAGTTGTTGGACTACAGTAGGGATGAACCAAACAGGCCTCCTTACAGGTCACTGTTATTTGATCATTATATACAGATACTCGGAGTCTCGGTTCGGAAAATGATGAGATAGAGTACAGACTTTGTGCCTGCCCCGCTGGGAAACCAATCAGGTTTTTAGAGTTCGACAGAGCCGTACTCTTACCATCTGACCTATGACCACTCACCACACAAACTAATCGGCTTCGTTGAGAAGCTGGGTTTATTTGGTCGAGTGTGAATAGGTGTGAGCCACATTAAACCCTTGCGGGTTGCGGTGGAGAATCGATAGACTCACTCACTTTGGACCTAATCTAACCTAACCTACCCCCTTGGGAGGTCTTATCATTTATTCTGTTCTTGGAAAATTCTGTTTCATCTTTGTTATAGATGTTTCGATTTCTTATGAAAGAAATCAGCCGATCATTCACCCCGATTCGAATACCCAATGCATCCAACTTATTTTGCAAGATATGTGGATTGAGAACGTCAAAGACACGGGATTGTGAAATATTCCTATCACATAATTATTCCGTTTAATGTTATAGTCTATATATTGTACTAGGTCTGATATTACGAAATCCATGCTGGCAAGGGGTCAGCAGGTTGAATTTATGAGTTCGAGAGTCTCTCATGCATGCATCTCTCCAAAAATTCCGAAAGAGGACTGAGAATGGAGATGCCCCTATGATTATGTATCAACCATTTTCACAAGACGCAAGATTTGCAAAATTTCTGTACCTACTGACCTGGTACGTTTTGAGACTTTATCAGTAATTCAGGTGAAAAATAAAAAAAATCTTGAGTTTCGTACCTTCATAATCCAAAACAGGAACTGTTCCCAAACACCAGAACTACAACACCCTTCTCGACGCGTGTTTCACCAATAAAGTAGGCATCGTCAGGAAATGGAGTACCTGGTTGGATTGATGATAATAATATATTGATGTTGAAATCAAATTCAGAATGTTGCCCTTCTATGGATTTTTATCTTTTGTATTTTGAATTAAACACTTAACTATACCTGAAATATTATCCTCTTTACTGCTACTCACTTGAATTAGCAATTCTTTCTTATCCTCAAGTGATTCAGTTCTCCGACTGATTTATGGAACAGAGATGAAAGGACGTAGAATAATGGCTCTAACGCAGTTCCCTTTCGGCACCACAAAGAAATAAAGTTCCGTTGAGGGAAAGGCTCATTTCCTCTTTTGTAAGATCCTGAAAGGATTAACTGAAGCATACTCCAACAAAACCGAGACAGTTCTATATTAAGTCTTAACATATTGATTCGGTAGACTCGGTAATAAATGAATTAGATCGGTTGAAATAATATGTAATTATTAAAATGCGTTTTCAAAAATCCGGTTCACATGATAATTTTTTATTCAATAGATAATTTCATGCATATTTCTAATCGGTCAGAAATAATTCAGTCAATGAGTAAATTGATATCATGGAAAACCCCGGCTTCCAAGAAAATTTCGATCATTTGAGTCGTAGAAAGAAGAATATTTTTACCTACGTGCACGTATTTTTTTTCTTCATTTAATATCGTTCGTCATCCACCTGAAGTGTATAAAAAAACAGAAGTCAATGAAATATAGAGAACCATTGCGATTAAAGAAATCATTGAGAGGTATAATACTTGGGGTCTAACGCTTAGAAAATAAATTTTATTGATATCTAATAAAAGTAGAAATTGATTAATTATTTTATATTTTTTTCCATTGATGAATTTAACAATAGTAAGGCTATGTTTTGGACCATATTTAGCATAATTTATTTTTTATTTCGAAAACAGATAGAGATAGGTATAGGACATTATCAACAAAAAAGTATTAAAATACCAGAGCAATTCCAAAAATGTATCAATATACGGGATGTTCCATTTGAAAAAATAAAGTTGCTAGGACTTTTTCATGGAAGTGGCAACGCCGCAATGCTGAAAATACTTTAGATCGATAGAACAGGTAAGGAAATGTGAGAGGTGAAATTTTCAGAAAAATCATGATTTACGTTTTCCAGAAACGTCTAACCTACCATCTACCGTGAGTCACGCTGTATACATGAATACATACATGAATACATACACACATACATATATATACATAATTGAATTATAATTCGGATAAAAAACAAAAAAATAAAAAAAAAATTAAAGGTTTTATGGAGATCAGAACTTCAATAAGGGGATGGGAGCAGGACCTTTGTCAGTTCCGATTTGAATTTTGTTTTCTGATTCAATTTCAATAATTTCTCTAGACAATTATTATCACTATACTTTAACTCCTGAATGAAATATTGATTTCTCTCCAAATTTTGAGTGGTATGATTTAATCAATCTGTAGTTTTTTGGCTTGTCTTGTACTATAATCATGAATGATATCTATTTGATTGAAATCCAAATTCGAATGAATATGATTGACAGAATGAATGAAACAACGAATTTTCAATTGAAATAGGCATGGTGGATACATCCAAGTAAAAAGCACATATTGTGATGAAAACGGTCGCAATTAGGAAATTTTGATAGATCACTGCAAAACAGTAAAAAAGTTTTCTAAAACTAGTGGGCTCTCATAATAACTTATGGAATCACTGATCTTGTATGATGACATCTTGAACTGCACATATCATATATCAAAATTTCGCGATTCTATTGTTTCCTCTTCAGTGACGAAGGAGGTAACTTCGTATCAAGTAATACATTTTTCAGATACCTGATTGCTCAAAACTACTCTGGTTGAGCAGATGTGAATTGAAAATCTTAACAATTATAATCAGTAAAATTATCGTGTTCTCCAAGTAAGTTCTCNTTCTGTGATGGAGAGTACGTGTTTCCTTAGTTGACAGTGGCCAGTCAGAAATCCTACTGTTAAGCGTAGATTTTTCCTGGTTATCGCCAGATATTTCTTCTGCGCTAGCTTCCCAGGGTCGCCCAGGGTGATCCTGACAAGATTGCATCCTCAGGATAATGTTATTATCTACCGAGACGTTGGCTAAATCTTGGTGGCACTCTAATACTAGACCAGAGGTAACACGTTGCCTGTTCTAGGCTAATAGGGGTTGTCTGCTATCAGTGCAGATTGTTATGTTTTTGCCAGAAATTCCTTTCCTGGTTATTTTGTTGGTGGCGATTGAGATACCAGCCAGTTCTGTTTATATTGTCCTTGAAAAAACCTACAATATAGTTGTTGGCTATTCTGAGAAGTGAGTGGAATGGTGAATATTTCATAAATCCATAAGCTTACATCATATTACCAGAACACTGATCTCCATTTCACTACTTTTGAGCTCGATCCCAACTCTGTTTGTGCCATTCGCTATATTTTGTGACTGTTTTTAGAAAGAGTGCCCTTCATAATATATTCATCACTGATGCTTTGTCTCCAGTATCATCAGTTCCTATCTTCAGATCTGCAAGTGAGTATCTACAATTATCATTTATATCGGACTCTTGCAAGAACGAAATTATGTAGGCATAAACGAGGTAGGTCAAAAATATCTTTTCACTTTTGAATTCATCAATTCATTTTTGAAGATGGTGATGCAAAATTTCGATGATTATGAATGAGCCGTTGGTTCTCACCATAAAATATTATATAGAAGATGGATTTGGTTGAATGAAAATAATTTTGTTGTGACAGTACGCTTTCTGAAAATTATCATCCACAGCTCAAGCAGCAGCCTTGAGAAAGTTGGGTCTTTTCCCTGGAGTTTGGATACTAAGAAAGGCACCCCCAACATTCATAACCAATGATCATCTCACAACGTGAGGTGATTGATCATTAGGTCAAAAATCAAGTGCCCAGAATGGTAGCCTCATGCATTTTTTCCTTAATATTCCTGCCATAGTACGGCAAGTCGATATGATCTGAAAGATTGAGATTGGGGAGTAAGTGGTTTGAGGAGAAACTTCTTCATAGTTCGACGAGGCATTATAAATATTTTATAGGTTCGTGAAGACAAACCGTCTACGTCTTGATCTGGTAGTCAATATTACTTCTATAACTCCAATCAAACTGCATTCAAAATTATGACTTATTTTATTGAGGCTCATTCTACACACATAGTTGTTGGTTACTTGCTGTCACCTGTCGGCTTCTCATGGAACATTGTACTAGATTATAATAAAATAAATGACACATGTGACATCTCTCTCTCTTTTAGAAAGTAATAATAAAAAAAAATATTCTCTATACCTTAAAGGTTTATTTATGATTCTCCCAAATCGAGTAACCACAGTACCTTTACTAGTTCCACTAGATTTGTCTTCAAAGATTGTTGACTAGAACTGGGTAAACATAAATCACTGTTGTTCAAATAAGCAAGTCAACTGTGTTATCATTAGGGCTGGGTTCAATGATCAAATTCCGATCTTATAGGCAAAGAGGGATTTGGGCATGTTTTGATAAAAGACGAATTTCTTCTCAATATCCTAACAAATACATCCTTCACGAGATACGACCTAAGAGCACTACATTTCCCTACTATCTCCCCCTGTTGCCAATTCCACTTTTTCTTTTTGAAAGTAATACTCTCTCCCAACTGCAACCCTTTTCTGAACTTTGCACTTGTCTTTTACTAATTTCCGCTCCTTTGCAGATCTTTTCAGCGTTTCCAGTGTTGAATGTGAATGTTGTAATAACCTTTGTTGTACAGACATCTCCTGTATTCCACTCACTACTTTATCTCTAATTAACGATTTCTCCAAGTCACCAAAATACAAAATTAAATTATGTCCGTAATGTGATTGTCAAAATTTTCCCCTTCCTCTTTCATGCGGGTGAAAAACTTGTATCGATCAAACGTTTCATTTTTAAGTGGCTTACAGTGATATTTGAAAGCTTTTATAACATCTTCATTCTTCTGCCTGCTTTCTTCCGTCATTTCAAAAGTTTGAAATTTGATTTGAGCTTCATCTTCACCTGCTAGGTTTAGAAAAATTCTTATCTTAGTTTTTTCGTCTTTGTCAATCAGACCTGTTGCCCTCAGGTATATATCCAGACTTCTTAAGAAGACATCAAAGCTTTTGTGCACATTCTTGTCGAATAGCAAACTTTTTGGAGGTTTGAAACTTCCACTGTAATTATCCATTTTATAACTCCAATCAAACTGCATTTGAAATTATAACTTATTTTATTAAGGCTCATTCTTTCATTCTTTCATTAAGGCTCCTCATGGAACACATAATTCAATTGTACTAGATTATAATAAAATGAATGACACATATAACACTTACTAGCTTTCATTAATCTTAAGGTGGAAATGAATAATTTTGATTGTCCACGAAATGGATCCTTCAGAGCATAAGGTCAACCAGTGTCTTACAATTAATGTATCAATATTGAAGTTGGTAGTATTCGTGAAGCAGAATTTTATCATTAATATCACCGTAGTAATTCTATCTTACCTAATGCTTTAATAGCTTCTATTTTATTCGCAGGTAAAGCTGGACAGAACAAGCTGGAAAATGATTCCATGAAAATCAAAAGATAAATAGATAAGTACTATTCTGATTACTCCCATATTGATTCCAATTTAAGAGCCACCGGTAGACAGCTATTTCAGCCTAATGGGCATCGTCAGTACCGGGCAGGCGGTCCTCGATTGAAGTTGATATATTTAGACACCCAAATCTGTATTTTGTAATTTAAATTTTGTTCCGAATGATCTTCCAGATGACCTTCCTCTAAATTCGAAATAGTTGAGTAAACTTTTGTTTTCGTATAAAAAACGATATTTGTCAAAAAGAGAAAAAATATTGTTCCAAAATTGTCTCTTTAGATGTTTTGCTAATGATAAAACGGCCATCAAACCATCAGATCCTACCCAATTTCACGTTTGTTTGGAAAACAATTTTCTGGCCCACTACTTATCCAAAATTATTTATAAAGTGAGGAATAAGGACAATAACTACAATAAAAACTCTTCATGAAGGTCTAGTTTCTTTCAGATATAAACTGGAAGAAAAAACCCATTTGGAAAAACTTCTTTTGAATTACAGGAAAGAAAAATGTCCTTTCGAATATTCATTATGGAATTGAAACATATATTATTCATAGAAACGGTACACAATGTATTCATTATATATGAAAGAGTGTTTTCCCGCACTTTGAATCTGAAAAAATATTCAAATATCTTTACAAAGTGTAATTATTGTAGTTATCCGTTTATCCAGCAAAATGAAACTTTTTATGCTATGCTAAACTTATTTGAAGAAATCATAGATGCAAAATTCCTATTCAACACATTTATATTATGCCTTGATTATTTCCATCATATCGTGTTTAATACAACTTTATGGGAGAAAAGAAACAATATTGGACGAATTTTTTTGTATGGCAACGAATAATAAATACCTACATTTGATATTAGGTGTAAGATGGAATCAGGCACAAAGACTATTTTCTTTAAGAAGTGGTTCACTGATAAATTCCAGCTTCTTACAGTTCTTAAATGAACATACAGAAAAACAAAAAAGGTATTATTATGAAGTCACAATTGTATTCTACAAGAGAAGTTGAGTAAGTGAAGTTCAAAAAACATAGAACAAGTTCAAATAAAACGATTCCCCCAGTTTTTCAAAAATATACTTTATTATATCAAAACAGACTAATCAAAAAAATTGTATTCATGATATATGGTCGATAAAATATTCAATTAGATTGATGATTGATCGACAGTATTCTTTTATCTTGTGAGACCTCCGTTTTAATTATATTCCACATCATTTTTTCTTTTGAAAAATCACATTTCAACATGTTCTTCCATCATTCGGTTGATTTCATTGTATATTTCAGGCCAAAGTCATTCATCAGTTGAGAGAGCTGGCTTACTAGGTGGAGTCCAATTGCGTTCCCTTCAAACTGATGCTTCGAACAGAGTGACTGGAGAAATCCTAGAGAAGGCCATAAAAGAAGACATTGAAGCAGGATTGATTCCATTCTATGTAAGTAGCTACAAACTCTGGCTGAAAACCCCATTCCAATACCATTTTTCAATGCAATTTAATAAAGTCTTGATCTACTACCACAAATTTAGTAGTAAAAATTCAGGAACATCCAAAAACATTGTTTCAGAACCAGTTTCGTGAGAAATACACGAGTAAATATGTGTAAGTAAATTCTCAAAAATGACTGACGTTTTTTCCTCAATCTATCTCTTGCAGTGGTGAATGAAAATTATACTCGACATATGAGGAAAAATTTTGATAAAATATAAAGAATCACAACCTTGACGATTTTTTCGTTTTAATGNATTATACTCGACATATGAGGAAAATTTTTGATAAAATATAAAGAATCACAACCTTGACGATTTTTTCGTTTTAATGCAATAATATTCCTGAGAATTCAGTGCCTACTATTATGAAATTGTTCAGTCATAATCGGACTGGAATTGTCACAGTACATTTTCTATTTCATTTCGCTGAACATCAGTTCTAGTTACAGTTTTTACTTTTTAACACTAGTAGGAAACCAATTGAGAACTATTGATAGCAGGAGAATCATCATCTGGGTTTGGAATTCAGACATATAGGTTTTTTATTTTTAGGTTGTGGCAACATTGGGTACAACATCGTCATGCACGTTTGATAAACTTGATGAAATGGGCACAGTTTGTAATGAAAATAATATCTGGCTCCATGTGGATGCTGCATATGCCGGATCATCTTTCATTTGCCCAGAGTACAGGTAATTATTTGAAATGTTTGGTGATATGTAGAGAATATTCATATCATTTATATTCATGATTCATATTGAAGTGAATGTTGAGATCCAAGCACCAAGTTGATACAAACCTTTAGGTCTAATGATCGACTCAAATTTAAAAAGTAATTTCAGTAAAATTGAGAATTTTCATAATTCACTAAACACGACACAACAAAAAAACAAAATCATATACAACTACGAGAACCACCGGAGATTCCTGAAACAACCCCAAAGACAAAGTTAACCTAGAAAACTGAGGCATATAAAGGATCGCATGTGGAGATTGCAGGGGAGAATACGTTGAATATAGGTGAATATCAGTCAGATCAAACGAACACAAACTTCCACTTCGCATCAAAAAAACAACTTCAGCCCTATACGAACACCACCGTGATACACGTCACAATATTGACTTCAAAAGCTGCAAACAGATAGCGAGTGTACATCACCAGAAAACCAGGATCATAGGGAAGGCAATCGAAATTGAGAAGATTGGCATTCTAAACAAGAAATATTACGCACACTATCTCTCAGCTGCATTGGAAAACCATCATATTCAAAACCAATGCCAATACATCATCAACAGCAAACGCATCGCCCGGTACAATGTGCCTCCAGTCAAGCCAGACATATCAGACCAATCATATACCTCTACAACCAAACAAGCTCCCCATCAAGCATGCATGGTACCGACCAATCAGGACATTCCACGCCACAATTACAGCCTACGGCCTACGAAAGCGTATAAATGGACAAGCATCAATAAGGAAGACTTTACCGTTAGTTAGGGAAGCTATAGATTATGCTGTAGACGACCCCTTCTGATATAGAAGGACCAGACACTCTGTCGCATGAGGCCCTTATGTCCCCCGTTAAAAGATTAACAATATCTTCATCCAAACACCCCAGCCAGGCAGGGGTCCACCGCACCGTGAAGGGCGTACTGATGTCTGAGGACATTTATGCCGCCATTCCATGATCAGTCTTGACCCGTTTGTCTTTCTGACAAAACCAGTAGAAAGGGTAAGGGAGCCAAGCTCCAACCTGATTGTACCAAGATGACTGTCGGAAGGACGACTTTAGCTTCAAGTTCCGCGCTAACAAGCACAGCATATGAATATGACAAGTGCGATCTTGTCGAAACGTCGTGATTTTATAGAAGACGAACGGATGTACCTACACCCAGAATTTGACCATTCTACATACTATATAGTATATTTATGGCAAATCATGAATACGGAAATCCTTGTTCGGAGTTACAGAGATAAAGTCATCCACCAAAAAATGTGAATATTGTAGGTTAATTGAAAGCATGAATGAAAATTCAATGAGCTGAGGATTTGATGAGGTTTTTCACAAGTCAAACACCCTACCACATCAAATCATTTATCAATGTTATAAAAACAGTGTTTGGAGAAGAAACTTATCAATAGTAGGCTTAGATTTTGCAAGGCTTAGTGCCTTTAGAGACGATTGAACTTGGACCCCGTTAAAAGATTAACAATATCTTCATCCAAACACCCCAGCCAGGCAGGGGTCCACCGCACCGTGAAGGGCGTACTGATGTCTGAGGACATTTATGCCGCCATTCCATGATCAGTCTTGACCCGTTTGTCTTCCTGACAAACACCAGTCGAAAGGGTAAGGGAGCCAAGCTCCAACCTGATTGTACCAAGATGACTGTCGGAAGGACGACTTTAGCTTCAAGTTCCGCGCTAACAAGCACAGCATATGAATATGACAAGTGCGATCTTGTCGAAACGTCGTGATTTTATAGAAGACGAACGGATGTACCTACACCCAGAATTTGACCATTCTACATACTATATAGTATATTTATGGCAAATCATGAATACGGAAATCCTTGTTCGGAGTTACAGAGATAAAGTCATCCACCAAAAAATGTGAATATTGTAGGTTAATTGAAAGCATGAATGAAAATTCAATGAGCTGAGGATTTGATGAGGTTTTTCACAAGTCAAACACCCTACCACATCAAATTATTTCTCAATGTTATGAAAACAGTGTTTGGAGAAGAAACTTATCAATAGTAGGCTTAGATTTTGCAAGGCTTAGTGCCTTTAGAGACGATTGAACTTGGTTATACAAATGTGAGTTTGGTAAATTTCTCTTACTAATTGTTAATTCATGTCTGCACAGGTTCAATAACCTTGCGGATCACATTCCATACGCATCACAATGTCTGTCAAATCTATTAACGTTTTCATGAATCTCTGATAAAACTTAGCCTAATGCCAAGTTGAATATGAAAAAGGACGACAGTGCTCTTTGAAACCTGCTTTGGCTATTATTCTCATGCCCTTCTTCTGGCACCAAAGTCACTGATGGAATTAGCTAAATAACCCTAAATTAGAATTCTATATGACATAACTTAGTGGAGTGATTCATATGTTTCATACCCTTGCTTCATTTAGGCAATAATGATAAAAGTAAAAATTTGTTTAGGTATTTATTGAATTTCTTTGAAGGATAGTGCTTCATCTGACTTTATAATAAAATTGTAGTAACTCTTTGTTTCCAGATATCTTATGAAAGGAATAGAAAAATCAGATTCCTTCAACTTCAACCCCCACAAGTGGCTGCTAATCAACTTCGACTGCTCAGCCATGTGGCTTAAGGATCCTTCCTGGCTAGTCAATGCCTTCAACGTAGATCCCCTCTACCTGAAACACGACCAACAGGGCTCTGCTCCAGACTACCGTCACTGGCAAATACCTCTGGGAAGACGTTTCAGAGCTTTGAAGATTTGGTTCGTGTTAAGGCTGTACGGCATTGAGAATCTTCAAGCTTTCATTCGCAAGCAAATAGGTCTTGCGCACTACTTCGAATCTTTGGTCAGATCCGATGACAGATTCGAGATAACGGAGGAGGTCATTCTTGGTTTGGTTTGCTTCAGATTGAAGGGGGCGAACGAACCCAATGAAGCGTTACTAAGGAGATTGAATGGTAGGGGTGTTATCCATTTGGTCCCGTCTAAAATAGGGGATACGTACTTTTTGAGATTAGCCATTTGTGGCAGAGTAACCGAAAACTCAGATATCGACATTTCTTGGAAGGAGGTGAAGAATACTGCCGACGAAATATTATCAAAGAAGTAGTTCTCTTGAGCCCCCAAAAAAACGAGATGACCTGATCAGAAACGGTATTCTATTTATAGAAAAAAAAACGTATTTATTGTGATTGGTCATTCACCAAAAGTACCTCCTCTTTTCATAATAGAATCAACAAAGCAGTAACACTTATATAGTTCATTGGAAATATCAATTCGTAGAAATTACTTCCCATATTGATATGCATGTATTGAGAACGTTCCGAAAACAGCTTCAGTTTTCATGTCTCTCACAGATCAAAACTGCAACAATCTTTCTGATATACATCAATTAACTTGACGTCAGCAGGTGGTACTCTTGAATGTTTTCATCAATTTCCAGTTCAGGTGTATTTACTTTGAATCTACTCCTGAGGATAGCAACTTAGTTGGTGAGAGGCGCGTCGAGAAGAGTGTTATTGTTCTGCTGTTTTTTGTCTGATACATTATATATTTGTGGTTATAATTTCATCTCACTATAGAAGTTGATCCATATAACATTTATTGGTAGTTACTATATTCAAAATCAATTTATATAAGACCTAGATACGACTAGCGATAATTATTGCTTTATGTTATGAAAAAATCAGTAACATAATAAATGAATAATGGAAGTATCGGCACATCAAGAGCTATATAATCATTCCAGCGCTGCTCTAACATTTTAATTCCACTTTTATGGAACGATTCATCTTTTGCCTCAAAATATGCCTCAGTTTCAGCAATAACCCCTTGTTAGGAATCACACGTTAAAAGGTAAGACCTCGTTAATCCTTAGCTCGCACAAGTTTCGACTTCTGAGGGTTGTCGTTCGTAGGGGTGCGACAGCTGGTTAACGGAAAAACAGATTTTAAACAGATTTTAAACAGATTCGAGAGAAACTACTCACCGGTGAGCATTTTAGCAAGGTCTGCGAACAGCCAGTAGTCGCTGGAAGCTAAATCTGGAGAATACGGTGGATGTGGGAGCAATTCGAAGTTCAATTCATGTGGTTTTGGCATTGTTTTGATTGACTTGTAACACGGAGCATTGTCTTGATGAAACAAAATTATTCTAACGTTTTCTATCCTTCAGAAGCTCTAGCAGAAGTAATTATTATTATATCCGTATCGTTCAGGCGTATACTAGGTACGTGTATTGAATATTATAGGGCACGTACTTGTATAATTCGTTTTCACATCGATATTGCATGTTTGAACCTTTTTTGAAACGGAGGGAGACTTTTGGGAATGATTTTCATACTATACTGAAACAAATATCTTTATACGTCTTCACCTTTTTGTTTTTTGCCAGCTTTGTTTTTTGCTCAATGTGACCTGGGCCGGATTTGGGGGTGAGCACGCGGGGCAACTGCCCCGAGGCTGGGACGTCCCCGCAATAAAAATAAAAAATATCAAAATTTTGATGGGTTAGCAACTTTTACGTTTTTCCTTCCGAACATTTTTTTACATTTTCACTAATGACACTTGCAATTGTTATCGATATATCAGAAAGCGCAGACTGCAAATTACTATTTACTCTCAATTCATCATTCGATCGAACATTTCAATGGAAATACTTTTTTCAATGTGTAATTTGTACTCTTGAGTTGAAGAGAAATGAAATAAGGAAAGAAAAATCCGAAAAATGATGGATAATTGTGGGGCACCACTCCTGCGTTGCCCTAGGACCGCCAGACTTCCAAATCCGGCCCTGAATGTGACCATCCCCAAACGGACCACGCGGAATAAGACAATGAATTAGGAGTTAGTTTAAATTATTGTTGTAAATATAGAATAGTATAATAAAAACCAATTGTTTAAAACAGTACCAAAAAAAATGTATACTTAAGTGGAAAAATAAATGTATATATTCAAGCACAATCTTTCGGTGGGGGACCACCGTATCTCTTTGTCAGTTGTAGAATCCTCTCCGCTTCCCTTATCCCACTGAGCCTTGCCCCATGCACCGTAGAATGATGACCAGCGCAGGTGGCTTCTCCTGCGAATAGGAGTATTGGAGGTACTGGGTCACAAGCCCCTGGAACTGGACAACTCAGATCGCACTGGTGGCCTACATTAGAATTCAGGTTCATGTAGCTGTAGGAGCCGCAGAAGTAGGGATCCGATGCCCACTTAGATCTGAATACCGTGGAGGGATAGGGTAGAGAGGCGTCACCCGTGAACTGTCTCAGAACTTTGGTGATTCCTTCAGCAACTTCTTCGTCTGTGGCGTTTTCCATCACGATAGCCTCTGGACCGCTTATATAGGCGCACAAAACGTGTTTGCTGCCCTCAACTTCTTCTACAGCACTCAAGCCCTTGGTCCAATCTGTTCTATTGTGCAACTCGTCTTGGGACCAGGCGAATCTTATACTGCCATTCGACCAAACCCAAAATGGTCGTTCGTAGTCCAAAAACACTTTGTCGACACTACCGTATCCTGCAAGAGAACAAAAAAAGCTGTAAGGATATCCAAAGCTTTGAATATAGCGAATGAATTTATATTGGTTATTGTGAGTAGTTCAAACCGAATCAAAAAAATTGTAGATCTCATCGGAATCTCATCTTAGTATTTTTTTGTGACGGAAGCAGATAAGCTCTGAGCGTGATCTTGAATACACATTGAGCGCTTCCTATTTTTTAATTGGAATAAAA